CTGTGACAGAAAACCCTTGATAAAATCACAAGCTGATTAATGGTTAGCTATTTGGTTTTCCTTTTCAATGTTTATTGGAAGGGCCAAGGGATTTTGGCAAATATTTAACCAAGATAAAGGTCAGACATTCTGAAAAAGTGCTTTAGAACATTTGATATTAACTAAAGACTATTTTTGAAATAAAAAAGAGCAGGTGATAAGTCAGTCTCTCCCTGGGCCAGGAAATAAAAACATCTAAGAACATAGCCCCCATATAGCTGAAGGACCCCCATGTGGGTCACTTGGCAAGGGTGGGAGAGGGTCCCTGGAGGCCAGGGCTGGTAAGGGTAACATTGGACACCTTCTGGCATAAACCTAACCAGGGCCAGGCCACTGCTGCCATAGAGGCGGAGAGATGTTTCGGCCTCCCACCTTCCTCCCACTACGCACTAGTTGTTGGATCATGCTGCTGGCTGCATTTCAAGTATAGAAATGTAGCTCTTTTCTAGCTTCCTAAACAAATTGCTGCCTTGAATGGTGCCCACACCACAGCCATGGAGACAAAAGGCAGATGCTTTATGGGCAGGTCAGAATGATTTTAGCCCCCTAAGAACACAGCTGCATAAATTTAGGTCCATTTGGGTCCTAAATTAAATAATAATAATAACAATAAGTCAACAACAACAACAACAACAACAATAATAATAATAACAACAAAATAAGTAATCCCCCTACACCCATTTCTCAGAGCAGGGGCTCCAGGGAGCTAAGCTTTGCTGCTGGCATCCATAAAAACTCACAAGTCCCTGGAACAGAAAAAGTCCCTCAGAGGCCAAATACCCTGCGGCATACTGGTGTGACCCTGGCAGGGTGAACACTGGCAGTACTGCTGATGAGACCCCACAGGAAGGGAATGCCCCATTCAGGTAGGTTTTAGTTAGGAGAATACTCCGTTTCAGCCCTATAAATGTCTCTCGCAGAGATGATCTGTAGGTGTGTGCCTGTGCATTTCTCTCAGCCCAGACCTGTAAATTCCTGTCTGTTTACAAGGAAGGAATTGTTCACTGGCAGGCAGGATGTGGGGCACATTCCTATGACAAATAAAAATGGACTTATAGGTCCACAGCACGTTTTTGTTCTATTATTCACCTTAAGGCTTGAAAACCTTCTCATACACCTGTGCAATGTTTTTGTCAAAAAGGAGAAACATCCAGATGCCTTTTATTTTACTTAGGAGAAGCACAGAGTTTAACAATTTCGTCTGTTCTGGAAAAAATATTCAGATTTTTGTGAAAAGTGTAATGTCTAGGACAGCTATCCACTTACTAAAATAGAATTTCACTAACTTTTGTAAGAATAAGATTTATATTACACATAATGAAGTCAATAGGTAGAGATTACTTCTTGGTGTACTAATGAAATAAGCATAATTATTTACTTTTGTATAATGGCAAATAGATCCAGCATTACAGGTTGTTTGCTTTCAAATAAAACAACACGGTTTTACAGAATGAGCTACAGCATAGCCTTTGGAAGATGAAAGTATTTCAGTAGCAATTTTTAAATAGCAAGTTTTACTCTCTTTTCTGTGAAATATTTTTATCGTAGAACAAAGTTTCCTATAATTTTTCTTTTAAAAATAGTTTTTCCATAACAGGAGAAAAAAGGGAGGGGAAAGAGATATACAGTGCCAAGCTTGTTAGAAAGGGGGATTACTAGCACACACTTGTGTGTGTTTTTTGTATAATATTCAGGAAGTAGCTGGTTCAGAAAATATACCATTGCTTCACTGACTTGTTACATAATTATTCCTTATTTTGATAACCATTTATAATAACTGCAGCAAATATTCACACCTCACCCTTCTCCCAGTTTCTCTTCTACACATGTGCAATCAAGAGAGTCGGAGCCAAAGTAAATATGTTCTACGCAGTTTTATCAAGGGTATTACACAGCATTTCAAAAGAGGCTGATGTAAGCAACAAGGAGCAAGGAAAAAGGTCTGCTTTCTCAAGCTGCATTCTAATAGAAAAAAGGTAACTTCAAAATCTGCCACCTGATTGGAATTTATTTTTGATTCTCCTGCACAGAAAACATGTCTCAGGCACTAGTAGTGGTACTGCTTGGCATTTCTTTTATTGTCTTTAGTGTCAGGCAATACTGGGTCAAACAGTATGCATGTGGAACTCGGCACAGCTCCAAAGGAGATAAGCCAGCTCATGCTAGCACACAACTTGGCTCCTACATTCAAGTAAGAATTAAATGCACATTAAACATTAATCTTTGGGATAGGACTCAGATTTATTCTTTGTTTCTGCACCTTGCTGGAGAATTGTTCCAACTGCTCATGAAAGGGCCCTAACCAAGCCTTTGACACAATAACATCCTCCAGCTGATGCCCAGGGCCAAGCTCTTTAAAGGGTCATTGATTTCCTTATATGCAATGACACACATCGATCCCCTGTCCTTGGAAAAAAGAGGTGGAGGGCATTGCCTTTTTTCTACTAGAATACAGAGGAGGATTTTAAAAAGTAAGACAAAACACATTACTAGTTGATGCTGAAATTAATCCTTATTAAAGATCTTCAAGTGGTAACTCAATGAGTGAAGTTTTCTATTCATCCACAGGGCCAATACAGCATAAGGAACCTTTCTTTTGCATCAAACAGTATGACATGGATAATAGCTTAATTCCCGTATTTATAAGCATGGCAATGACAGCACTAACATACTCTGACAATTTGGGCATGCGTGTGCATGCCTGTATATATGCTATATATCCATACATTAGCAAGAAGGATAATCCGGGAGCATAAGCAACACACCTCTGATCTAACAAAACAAACATGCACCTGCCTAACTGAAAGGAACCCTCCCAACACAAGCTGGAAGTTTTGGTTATGTGTGTCCTTAATTAATTTGCTGCGCTGACTTATATTACACTGCTCCCTGGCAGATCCACAGAGAACAAGGCTGACTACTTCATTTTTGGGTGAAACTGTGCATCCTACAAAGGCAGTCCTGCTGGATTATGCTTTCCACTGCTATCCTCCCCCAATACATATCCTATTTTCTCCAAAGCAAAAGGCACATACATACGTTTCTGCACACGTGATTTTAAAAGCTGTTGGTGATGTGTAACTCATAAGCATGATTAAGGAAAAATTCAAAAGAAAGAACTTTCTAACCATGGAACTAATGTACTGAGAGACTCACAGTGGGCCAAAAGAGAGAGAGAGCGCATGAATATGTGAAGCTGCTTCACGTGAAGTGCTCTCTAAATGCAGCTTAGGTTAAGACTCAGGGCCTACACAATTGTGGTAACAAACCAGAGGTTCATTTTGAAAATAAATTAAGGTGAGGTCTGAGAAATGGCATACAAGGCTGACTTTGGCAAATTGGATCTCTAATCTAGAAAACAATGAGTTTTTCCAAAGCAACCTGGATGGGCTTCCACTGATGTTTGCTGAGACCCTTGAAGGGACTGTCTACATTTTCCAGAGCTGAATTAGTGCTTTTTTGGACAAGTCACTATTATTTTTAGGTTCATATATTATTCACAAAAGAACATAATCTTTAATTTATTGTAAGTACAAGCAAAGGCTGGTTAGGTATCAGCTTCTTGGGAGCAGAATGAAATATTGGGGGATGGTTAGAGATTGAATTCCTTAAAGCAAGAATGACAGCTCAGAGTGATGCCTCCACTGCTTCCCTAGCAGTTGAGAGTAATACACTCCTCAAACTGGAATGTTCTTTGAAATGCTGTGGGAAGTGACACAAGCCAGCTGGGCTGCATGCAGTGTAAATGGGTGGAGAAGCTAGGAACGTTTGGATTTGGGTAGCGAGAGGTCATCCTGCAAGATGTGATGCAAACCTGTTTGAATGGGATAAGGCATTGAACAAACTAAAGAAGAGTTGAGGAAAGACTGGTATGGCAACCATGCCTAGCATATCCAGATTTGTGGAAGTGAACCAAGTTGGAGTATGCTTCAGGCTAATTTATGAATAATCACTTTTGTAAAAACATTCAGGTTCAGATGATCTTTAATTCTTGAATGATCTTCAGAAATTGTTTCTTGCCCAAATTATGAATAGATATTAATTATAACAATCTCTTATATTATAATTATAGTGTACTTTTCATTCCAACGGATCCTTAGGCCTTTTACAGCATATGCATAATTCATTTTTGCTCACCTCAGGGCTGAACACAACACTTAATAAAGAGAAGGAACTGTATTAGCTATTAACAAAGGTGATCAGGCCTCTTTTCTCATTCTTCACTTCTCTAGCTTCTTAACCTCTGTTGCAATCACTGGCTGGTGGCAGCAATGTAGGTGGAAAGGGGAATTACAATGGGGGATAAGGGAAAAGAACAAGCTCTCGTCATCAAAGCAATCACAATGTCTCTGACAGTGACCACAGCAGCATTAACTAAATAAAAGTTAAAAAGCATGAGTATTTTAGAAGATAATTATATGATTGCAAAGTTAATGTGTGATTTCTATACTAAACTATACTTCAAAGAATATTTGAGCTGATGTCTTGATATACCCATGTGCATCTTTGGTACAGACCCCTGGGAATTCAGGGTAACCATTTCAAAGTAATGCCATATTAATGTAACTCTGATTGCACTGAACCTACTAGAAACAGAGGCAGGAAATATGGAGTATGTTTTTATGAGTAGGTTTGTACTATTTTGGCTATGGTAAAAATAACAATAAAACCTTTATGACAGCACACAGTCATTCAGCAAAAAGACAGCAACAAGATTAAGACTCTGGATTTTGAAATTAAGGTCCAACCTGATGACCCAAATCATGCACAATAGCAATTATAATATTACACAATTAATTTTTTCCCATCAGAAACCACTCATAATACTGAACAGTTAATCCTTCTGCCTGGATAAAAGTATTATCTGGGAACTGACAGCAAAGCAAGCATTGAAAGGAAGCATTCTTGCCTTTGAGGTGTGAACAACTCTGTCTCTAAATATTTCCAACTTCAATACTCACTATTATGCTTGAAGATTCTAATAGTAGCACCTGAAAGCCTTGCACCAAGAATGAGAGAAGTGTGGTTCAACTCATCACTTAAAATGAGGCAGCCCTGTGGAGAAGGAGTACAATAAGCATCTGCATGAATTGGGAGGCTGTTGACATGCATGCATATGTGTGCCAGTGTACATGTGTGTCTATTGATATAGCATTGTACCAATTAAGCTGAAAGTATTAAGCATGAACTGGATTTTCTGCCACTTTTCTGAAGGTGCCAGGACCCACTGCAAAGGCAGGCGGAAACTGTGGGATCAGATTCTCATGCATTCCCAGGCAGTTCAAAGGGGCCAAATATTTCCTGTAACTGGAAAGTAGTGAATAACCCTAGTAGAGATTGACTGCTTTATAGTGAAATCAAGTCATGTTGCTTCCTTTATCACCTGTCTACAGTCTATTTTGTGTTGCAAGGAAAATGCAGTCACCACTCCATATATAAAGACTGCATGATATTAATGTAAGGAGGAGTAATACTGAGGCTGGGCTGACATCAGCACTTTGGGCTGCAGAAATGAGATTGGGACACATTGATGCCTCATAAATCCCACTTCCATTAAGATGTGAGTGGAGCCTAGGCACCAGGCAGAGTCTTTCTCTGGTAAATGCATATACAGTTCACCCTCAGTATATTTTTCATTAACTAACTCAGTTGAAAACTCGTTTTCTTTTTAAAAACTAAAATAAAAATACAGGAGAAATAACTTTGTATATTACATTAACAGGAGTCAGGATTCACAGGTGAAATTCAAGCTGGAACTGTAATCTAGCTCTCCTTTCTATTACACATCTTGTGCTGTGGTTTCATTACCCAAACGGCAATACAACATTAAGTAAATACTTAATTTGGAAACACCGATTATGCCTAGGCTGAGAGGTACTCACACAAATCTGCCTAAAGACGAACAGTAAGAGTATACACATCTTGACAAGAAATGTAGCTGCTAGGCTTAATTATAGTGGAAAATTTAGGACTAAATCTCCCCAAGACATGGCAATTACACAATAGTTGTAATATATATAATACTATTAATATATATCAAATTGTTATAGTTCTATTCTATATAATGCACATAATAATATCTTTATTTGTGCCACATGTCTAAATATCCCACCTCTGATAGAGACCTGAGTCTCCGCATGAGGCCAGCTAATTGAAGGAAAATTATTTTATAGCTAAGCAAGGGACAAGTATCTTATGATTTTATGTATTCTGCAATTTCATATATTTACCTTTATTATTTCTCTGTACCTATTTTCCCTTTGAAATTGCTAGACAAATTCTCCGGCACCATTACAGATTGAAATTCATGTTCTGGGCAGCTGAAGCAATTCTCCCTGCCCAACCCTTGTGTACATGTATTTTAGAAATTTCTTGCAAAATCTGGATTCATCTTCAACAGTGAGTGAAGAAGTGACTTCACCTCTAGGCTGGTGCTTCAGAAGAAACCTTGATCATACACCACACAGTGCGTTCATTCCATCTCCATCAAGAGGGAATAGTTTCACACTTACATGACACACTTCATATTGTTTCACACTTGCATGAACTAAAGAGGAGCTATTCACTTTCCCAGCTAACCGCACAGTATATCTGCTTGTTATGTCAGGAGTTGTGATTGACAGGATGATGGATTTTCCTGCCTTTGAGTTAGGTACCCCAAATTGGAGATGAAGTCACATCAACACCAAATAAGAACCTAACTTTTGTCATATGGTCACAACTTTAGACTTGCATTTGCTGCCAGCTTTCTTTGCAGGGCTGGCTAGAGATCTGTTCCTTGGGAATGCTAAATGCTGTACTTCCCCCTTTCTGAAAGTGTTCTGAAAAATATCCTAATCATCATCTTTCACCATAGGCAGCTGGGCAATATCTCTGCAAGTAGTCCAAACACAATGCCTGAGACATGGGATGCAACATTTCCTTACTTACTTTTTATGGAGAAACAACTTTGTAAGAGAAGCTAAACAAGTATATCACTCATCCTTAAATACACGTTAGGTATGTGTGATAGCAACACCCAGAGCTAGAAAAAATGGTGAAGGAGCATATTTAAGGTCACAAGCTCATCAGCCTTATGACCCACGCATTCCTGATATCAAGCTTTGTTCCTCGATCAAGCCTTTCCACTTAATGTGTGCCCAGAATACTGCAACAGTTGTTAAAACAATTAATAAGTGATTGCTCTAGGTGTTCCTTAAGGAAATACTCACCTTCCCAACAAGGGCTGGAATATTCATTGAGTTAGTTGCAAAGCCCATGCCAAACACCATAGCATCTTCCACACCAAGGAAGTTGGCCACAAGTTTCTCTAGTTCTACATGTTTGTCTAGGGTGCCTGCAGAAATAAGCACAGAGAATCTTAAGTTTCGTTAAACTGTGAAAGTTAACTTTAGAGACATAAAATGTACAAAAGAACAGGCCAGAAGTATGCCATTAAGCTATACAACATTAAGTTCTAATGAAGGTTTTCCATTTGTATCTTGTGCATGTGGGATAATGCAAGGAAAAGCAAGGATGCAAACCATCTATGACTAATGCTAACAAATACTGATGCTGTTAAGGTAGCAAAGCAGTTGCTTTGGGAAAAAATTTCCTTTTTCCATAACAACAACTTTTGACATAGTTTATTCTGAAGAATAACTTTTTGCCTTTTCACCCCCTGCAATGAGGACAAAACCAACTCCTTTTTATAGGAAAAGTGGGACAAACATCTTAGGCATTCTTGAGTTCTTTCTGGATGTGAAAGCAAAAACTGATGACAACAAAACTTTTCCTTTTTCTCTTGCATGGTTACATATGTGATTTTATATGGACAGGCATGTGTTCTCCATCTTTTTCTACTTCGGAAGGTAAAAGCTATGCCACTCTCTGTAACTGATGATAACTCTCCTCTTTCCTCCCTCGCAACAGTTGAACATAAATGATAAGGCAACACTAGAGAACCTTCTTTATTGCACATTACTCATCTAATATTAGTGCCTGGAATGGCCAAACAAATAAGTTACTCCAACTATCCAACAAAAGTAATAACTTTCCCACCCAACTCACAATGGAGGATGACAACATACAAAAGGCAACAAATGAAAGAGTGGTATTAAGAGATTGAGATAACAAATAACTTTGAACAGTAATGAATCATCTCAACTTGCCAGCTTTCTAGTCTTTGGTTGCCTGGCTGTGCATTGCAGGTACCAAGGCAGAAGGAACTCTTACAGGATGATCTGTGGGGAAGAAAAGAGAGTGGCCTGTGGGTTCTGACAGAGCGTTTCCCCTATGAATGAGGCTGTAAGCAAGGAACAGAAGAACAAAATTAGAGAAGTGAATATCTCACCTCTCTTGCACTGCACAAATTGCTGTCACAATAATATAGACAAAATGAATGACAACTGATGGGAACAAGAAGTCTGTGTTCACTGTGATGGACAAAGTGCAGATGAATGGAGGAAAGCAGCCTCTTGGCTAGAGTGTCTCAGCAAGAATGATGAGTCAGGAAGACGATCTTACCTTCATCATGGAGGAAAGCTCATTTTAAAAAAAGTCAAATAAAAAGGGCAACAGTACAGTTTCAGCAACAGCACTAACTCAGCTGGTTACAGTGAGGGAGTGTTTTCACTATTTTTTCCTCATTAAATATCCAAAGTAAGAATGAGAGTCACTTGGAAACGGAATGTGAAAATTATCTTGCAGGCAGATAACTTTCTAACAGCCAGGGAGTTAAGAAGCAAGGATCATGTGGCTTCTGGAAAAATTTGGATTACATGGGCAGTAAAAAACAGTGGTGCCGTGATTTTGCAGAGAGCCTGCCTGGGCTCTGCTAGACCTGAGACAACTCTGGCAGAGCTTTGAGAATGTCTCTGCACCCATTGTATCAAATTCGATGTACATTGAGCTGGGCTGTCTCTGGCTCTGTGCTCTGATAAGTTAGGTAACATAATACAGAAAATTTGGCTCTGCAGAACCTCCAGTAGATGTGAGTTGACTCGGCATGAAGCTCTCTGAGGACAGCTACTTTGTGCATTTGTAGATCCCAAGATACGCAAGGATATACACTGGCTCTGCACACAGCCACAGCTTAGTAGCCAAGCTCCAGGAAATACAAAACCACATAGTGTTTCAGAGTTGAGACGCTCACTGGAGATGTGAGAATCTACGTCTTGTAAGACCAGTAGGTCTCAGTGTATATTTCTATGGTTAGTTCTATATTTTTTGCATTTTGGGCCCAGTTAGTCTTCAATCGGGTTACAGCACTCATTGACAACTGAGGGTTCCAGCCTGGCCAGCTGCCCTAGTGTTCCCTGCAGATGGTATTTTGTCACTTGAGGGCTATAAGCACACAAAGAGAGGATGAAGTCTGAAATGGAAGCTTGAAATCAACCACACTATGGTTACAGCTTGAATTAGAAGGGGGTTTGTGAAAGCAGGAGATACAAGGAGTGTGTGCTTTGCAAGGCAGGAATTTTAAAGCATGAGAAAATTGTCCCTGACTCCCAGGGGTAAATCTGACATTACTGGGATGGAGTTAAATTGCTTTTTGGGGTTAATCATATGTTTTCTGTTTTTACAAACAAGAAAAGCTTGACTCGCTACAGATTATTCAGTTCAAGCATCTACTAGATGAACCAGAAAGGAACATTTTTGACCTATTTTTATCGATTTTGTGATGATGAAGAATAAGACATTCTGAAAGTGACCAATTCCTACTTATTATTTACTAATTGTAACAGTGAACGCAGATGATATTGTATATTGCTATTGCCTACAAATCCTGGAATACAAATTAGAAACAATGGGGGGCCAGTTTGCAAAACCAAAACCCGAATGACAAGGATTTTCAAAATGAGCCCTAGTTTTGAATTAACTCTAATTATAATGACAATATTGTAAGTGGTAGGTGAGGTGTTGCAGTAGCAACATCAGTACTGACTGTGGGAGGTTTGTGACAGTGATATACATTGAGTAGAGCTGCTAAAGCCTATCAGCTTGCATTTTCCAGGGTTTAAAGTAGAAAGGGTATTTATTTAATAAATTATGGAATTATTTAAACATATCAGAAGATTCCTCCAGTAAGGGTCAGTCCTTGGACACCATATAAACTGAACAAATTATATCACTTCTCTCCACTGGAGGAAACGAGGGGTCAGATGTGCTCTGCTGGAATGAGGCTTGTCCAGCAGCCATTCCCAGCTGGTCACAGCAACCACCCCAATGACCATAAACAGCACTACCAGACAGATGCAAATTTGATCTAAAGAAACTTCCACTGGCACAAGCTGCTATATCTCAAGCTATACAAGAAAGGCAGTAATTACACTGGTCTACATCAAATACAACCTTAGCAGTGTTAAGTCAGGTTATTATGGTCCTTGAAATGTCTTGTATTGTGCTGGATTCAGACCAGTATCATAGTCTGGTGAATGAAAAGAGATACTAGATATATTTTTATTAATACACTGCATACACAGATACCTTCTGTACTTGTCCTATACATCAACATTAGAATTTTTCCCCATACTCTACCTGCTCTGATTTTTATGCTGAATACAGCTTAGTTTGTCCTGAGAAATCAGGATACAACTAAATAATGCATGCCACCTTACTGGGAAAGATGTAAAACAAAAAGGAAAAGAAGAAGCTACCTGCATCTCACTGTGTTTCAGGTTTATATAGTTATGAAAGTAAAATCAAAGACGTTATCAAAAGTGGACTTTCACAATGTTAGCCACCTCCACAGATTTCCATGCTTTTCAAAGCAAATCCCCTCCTTTCCAAAATCTGGTGACCCAGTTCCTGCCATTAACTTGTTACTCACTGCATTCTGGGGTCAGAGAACATGAAGCAGACTGTGTTTTGGCAGACTTTCATAGGCTTACCCGTGCTCTTGGGTTGAAAGTCACTGTCAGTCTACTAGACAGATAAAGCTTGAAAATGCACTTCCCATGATCCACACAGTTAATTAATTAGCTTTGACACTTTCAGCTTGGACAAGGTGGTTTATGCTGCTGGTTAGTCTGCCCAATACAGTCTTGCAGGTTCTTATGTGCTAATGACATGCAGTGGTTAAACTGCCAAGACTGGCAACAACATCCTTTAATAGAATTTTTCATTTGGAATTCTGAGATCCAAAGAAGACAGGGAAACACCTGCTCGCTTCAAATTAAACAAAAGCTGAAGGAGTAAACTGACATAAGCAACAAGTCATTGAAAGAAAAACAACAGATTCCCATAAAAGCCAGTTCCACATATGAACAGCAACTGGGAATCCTATGGATCACTGATGTGACTCACCAAGGTGAATAAGAACCATTACTCCGTGAAAATGATGGTTTGTCAGAGGTACCCGTAGGAGTGTGGGAAAAAGAACAAAACACCTAAACTTCCTTGTCACGCTTGAAACTTAAGGTCACAGATTCACTCTGGTAAGATACTTGTCAGAGATTAAAAAATAATATTACTGAAACACATACACTTCTACAAAAGTAAGATTGGATGAGTTATTAATAGAAGGATGAAGAAACAGAAGATGTAGAAAGCGTATTATTTACTTACAACATTCTACAAGAGTGGATGATGCAGAGGGTATCACTGCCCTACAAGCCCACTACAAGAGCAAAGCCTACCATTGTAGAACGATACATACTGGAAAGATAGAGGGACAGAAGCACGCAGCAATGTTATGTAGTTGCCTCATTTAACACTGTATGTGCATAAAACAGCCCCAAAAGAAATGGGTTTTGAGGAAGCATTTGAAAGAAAGGAAATGCTCAAGATTTCTTAATGTTGCTGCCAGCTGATAGGGCTTATCACACCAGAAGGATGCTGCAGGTGTCATAGATAGAATACTGTACCTGTGTAATTTACTGATTCTCAGAAGAGAGTAGATTGGTTTTAACAAACTTCCAGTTTAATTTAGATCTTCCAGTTTTGTTTGCTTTTTTCCTTTATAGAAACACAAGGCTAAGATTTACAGTTGAAGTCCAGCTGCTTCATGCGGAAGCCTGGATGGCAGTGTTGTAAGTGCCTAAATAATTGCAGGTGCACAGACAACATTATATATCGGAGATATTTTAGGTTTTAAACAGGTCGCACAACCTTTAGTTACTCCTGATGCCTTCAGTTCCACCTGCCAGAAGATGAACTGTCCAGAGCTTAATGGTGCTTTTTGCAAACATACTTTTTCAATGGTGAAATACCAGGAACAAACTTGACCCTTTGATCATAATTTGGATCAGTTATTTATGAGAGGGGAGGCACAAAATGGAAAATTATGTCAGTTGGAAATGTCAAAGAAAGAAAATTCCTCTCATGAACTGTTTGCTAATTTATACCATACCCTAT